TGCGCTCCGCGAACATTTCGCGAGGATCGAATTCCTCGATCGCGATCTGCATACTGTATCTTCGGAACATTAAGCAACGATCTTTCTTTTCCTTGAAAAGTCGTAGGAGGAAAAGAATAGTGAAATACAGTCCAGAAAGTTCCAGGTATGAACATTATACATGTGACGTTAATAAAAAAAGAATAATGGAACGCTTTACGTATATATGAGGAAATAAAAAATGTACATGGCGCATATAATTTATAAACATATAACAGAGAAACTGAGAAATATAACGAGATGATAACGCAACACTTTATCAACAAAGTCCGCAGAAAAATTGTTGAATATTTTCGTGCTTGAAACATATATGCTATAAAGTATTTATCGTCTTCCTACACTGTTAAATTCATAGGGTTAAATTAAACTCAATTTTGAGTAATTTTTAACTATTCCATAGGTCGCCACTGCTCCTACTCAATATGTAGTTAATTTAACTAAAACAATGTTAATTTGATTAAACTAATGGAGTTAAAATAATCCTATTTTGTTTCAAACTAATAAATTGTGACGCACATGGTAGTTAAAAATAACAAAATAAATCTAACTCATGGTATTGGTTTAAATTTCATCCTCTAACCTTTAACAGTGTATGTAGTTTAATTTACAAGTTATTTCAGCTCTGTTTCTTCGCATCTGTTTAACTGAAAATAAATAATCAAGAGCGATTGAAATATCAAATCACGATGGAAGTGTCAAATGGAGTTACTACAGAGAACTTTGTAATTCACAAAGTCCTCTAATAAAATTATCCGGGAAACATTTATAGATCCGTTTGACGAGAGATCCTCCGATCTTTCTTTTGACTCTCACGGGAGAATGGCGGTTTCCTTTTAGTTACACAAGGGTTAATTCACGGGGGATGGTACAGGGCGCATTTGCAGGGGCGGGCAGGGGTGAGCGACCGGTCAGAGTGCTTCTTGGCGAGAGAGGGTACGTCATAAGGACGCAAAGGCGTCGCAATCGATATCCACGGTGCGGTAACACAACGCCGTGGAACGCCGCTGCGATATTTGTCCGCGATATTAATTGCGAACAACATATCGAGCGAGTCCTTCGAATTTCTTTCGTCGAGAAGCGCCGAATTTTAATCGCCAATTTACGGCGTGCCGGATTTTTTTTTAAAGAGATTTACGGACAATTTCGCGGAACGATTCCCCGTTCATGGGCACAGATGATGCGTTTAACTTGACTCATCTTGGTACGAGTACTTCTTTTTTTTTTCACCATATCGGAGAACCGGTTACCGGACAATTAACGACCAGCAATCAACTGAAAATCGTTTTCTCGTCTATTAACTTCGACTTTCCTGCATGCGGACTATAGGCAATTTGTACTTGCTGTTAAGTTATTTAAGAGAGAGAATTGCTTTTAATAATTTCTTTGCGAGATAAGCAAACGTGCGCAATTGAGCACAAACATATAGTACGGACATTTTATTAGCTGTTTTACCGGCACCTTGACCTAACTGACCTAACAGATGTTCGTAGAAATGACACGTATGCTAATAGGTGACTGTGCAACCGTCCGTCAATACGAGTTTGCGTATAAAAAGAAAGTAATGCCGCTTCGGTAAAGATGCCATGTATTTTTTTTCTCGCGCGTGTTTTTCGCGTTATTCATAATGGATTTCGATGACTCGATCATCGAGTGAATAATCGCACTGATAAGCGATTTTTATAGCGCTCCTCCGTGCGACTAGATAAAGCGCATAGAAATGAACAAGGTAAAAATTTTCCACGTGTTCGTATTATGTGATAGCATATCGATTAATCGCAAAATTAAATTGTCAATAAAAATTAGTAGCGAAAAATCTGATAAGAAATGGCTTATCCGTGAATTCGACGTTATAACGTTGTATTACTTTGAAGCGCACGTTGCAATCATCGTGAGCGTCTGGATAAAAATCTCGTAGCTCTGTGTTCCGAGGCGTTCGTTAAAATCAAGGCAAATATATAAATAAAAATAACGCTGGCTCGTTTGTATTCGCAAAGGCGTTCGTTCAAATCGATGCAAATATAGCTAGATAAAAGAATTTTTATACCTTCCTCCCCCTCTCTGTCCCGCAGATTTGTGGGGAGGGGGCGGGGATAAATTCAGCGTAAATTCCTGCGATGGTACGCACCGAAAAATTCGTCATTCGCGCGACGAAAACGAGCAAATGCAGGAAGAGAGCTGAGCGAGCATCTCGCATAAAAATGTGCATATTACCGTATACGTACGGCATAAATATCGCGTTGCTAAATGTGCCGTCGCGGTTGAGCGGGTTTTAGGGAAACAAAGAACACAATTCCCGCGACCCCGCGTCTCGTGTTTCTCCGTTCGTGCCTACGCGAACGGATTCGCGATTCGACGTCGTCATTGTGAATTTGCGTTTCCGCGGCTGCGAATCGTTCCTTCGTGACCGTCCACGGAAATCCGACGATTCCGACGAAATTTAATCGCTATTTGTGAGAAAGTGGCAAGACGGAAGAAGAACATCAGAAGACTGTTTTACGAAAAAGAGCTGAACGGAGGGTCGAAAATTTTGCGGATCGAGAAACGACATAAAAATTCGACGCAACACGCCAATTGATTTAGGGACACAACGTGTAAAAATTCAAGCCGAGGCACCCGGGACCAGGGGAGAATTTAATTTCCGGTGAGAAAGAATTTCATGATACACACGTCGTATTATTATACCGTGAATGGTATTGGACTTCATAGAATATTATACATATCGTGATCCAAACGACGGAGAATTTGCATTAAGATAACTTGCGCGGCTTGAAACTGCAAAAATATGTAAATCGCGATCGTTTATCGATCCTCGCTGTTAATTACGTTTGAAACGGAATTCGCGACTTCAGTGCTCGTTATGGGAAATTGCGCCGAGTAATTTCAGCATCACGTGCCGTATAATATAACTCCGTTTTTACCTAATGTAATTGAAGGTGTATATCTATTTTTTTTTGTAAAATACGTGTATTTTCTAAAATGTTTTGCAATTGTTATAAAATTTACAGTTATATGGATAAATGTGAAGTGTTTCCCGTGAGTGTAAAGTAAATACTTTACACTATAAAATACTTTAAAGTAAATACTTTACACTCGTTTTCTCTTTATCTATTATCAGTGAAACGTGTTTTATCTAGATTGCATGGCGGGATGTGACAGAAATATTGCAATTTCGAAGAATTGTGACGATTATACGATGCATAATGCGCTCACTGTACATGATAAAATAATTTAAAAAAGTTACAATTCCTCGAATAAATTTTCACGAAAGAAATCTATAAATTTTCAACATATCGCCAAATTGGTATTAAAAATTTTACAATAGTTCGTAACAAATAGAATTCAGTTGTGCTTGGGCGAAGGAAAACTTTCGCGACTTGAAGAAAATTCCGAGGGAGGTCCCAAAGAAAATTCACGTTAACGTTTGTGTACGTATTTCTAAGAAAACTTCTGTCAGCCGGAAGCCATTTTCTACGAGAAGAGAGCCTCAAGAAGCGAACGGCGCTCACTCTGAGACGGCGAGAAATTGGAATATTTATGTAAAGTTCTCCACACTCTCTCTCTCTTATATTTGTTTCGGGATACTTCATTTTGTCCGTGCAATATCACGTTTAAGTTGCAAGTGAATCGCTCAATATTGATGTACATACGGCGTGCATAAACTAACTTGAAATGTAGATAAGAAAAGGATTTGCAGATTACAGTCGCGCGTTTATCTGAGAAGGAAACTGTGTGTTTGTCGAAAGTTGGAAAAACAACACGGAGATGTATATGCAAAGCGGAGGAGATAAGTATGTTAAAGCCCGTTATTTCGCTCGCAACCTTGAGATGATTTCCTCGTCTCGAGGCAGCCGGTAGCGTTTACCGTTAAAAGGCGCGCGACGGGAGGCGCGTGCCTTAAAGTCAGATAGCTGTACTTAATGCAGTACGTGGAATATGGAGCTTTCTTATCGCGAGCGATTTACACGTTTAGCGTGTTGAATGGGCGCGACGCGGATATTCGGCAACAAGCGGGTCGCTAAACGCTATTGGGACACGTACCCTAAGATCGGGCAAGAGCATTAGCGTTTTAAGCCTTTGAGCTGTTGGATGAAACCATGCGCCTTCTCGGAATTCTAATTCCGATGGTATTAGTTCCATTTGGAAGGAGATGAGTACCGCTGAAATAGTTTTGAAGCTAAAGCACTAAAGGGCTCCAAAGGCTTACGCGAGAATGCCGACGTCAAAATCAGTCGGGGGCTGCGAACTCAATGTTACATTTATCCAGATAAAGGTCAGTTATCGGATATAGGAATATCTTTATGCGAAGGGATATTTGGATGACGTAATGATTGTATAGCTTCCAGATCCGCGGAAGGGTTTAATAATTTCAACGCTGTAGGGAAAGCCGTGAGAATACAATTAATTTATGTTAATATCTATTTTAATGTTTATCACATTTACATCGAAGTAATTCACATTACAATATTTCCGATTATTCGTGCATATTTTATGTAAAATTCAAAATTCTATAACATTTATATACTTTGTTTTATTTGGCCACTGTAAAACGAACACGTATGAAACGAAAAATTCTAGATAGCTCATAAAATATAAAATAAACTAAATTCATCATTTAATATCGAGATCACAGAAATATTAAAAATTATAATCGATACATAATATATAACATTTAAGACGTAATTACATCGTATGAAGTAGATTAAGGAATATAAAGTAGATTATGGAATAATTTAAATGCTTAAAAATTAAGCCGCGCGATATAACATTCCTTCTCGCTCGTAAGGGAAAGTGGCGGATCCACGAGGTTTCGAGCGCAGAGCGGAGATATCGAGCGTAACAAGATGCGATATGATACCGGTCGCTATCGCTTCGCGAGCGAGCGAGCGGCGGCGATCGGATCCGCGATCCACATTCCGGCGATCGAGGAGAACTCGCGCGGACGACTCGCGTGCGCGCGGCACGTCGGTGATCGGGAAACCGTGAACTTGCACGTTAGAATTTGTGCACGGCTTCCCCGCCGCGCGAGGGAAAACGCGCCTCGACGGCAACGGCGACGATGACGGCGGTGAGTGCGTTCGCGGCTCAAGGTCTTCACGAACTTTCCGCCGAACCGGTTTCCAGCCGACGACATTAGACATACGTGACTTTCCTCCTCCGTGAGTGCGCGAGCGTGAACTTCCGCGAGGTCGAACCGCCACGGCTCTCGCAAGCGAGCTCGCCGCGAATCGGGTTTAGCGCCGGCAAGGAACTCGATAAGGAAGAGAAACCGCCCTGAATCCCGAAAGGTATCAAGATTTTTCGCTTTTAATCGCGCACGTTGGAAATGACAATTTTTAGTATCAGCTATGAATTTTAATTTAATCATTTACGCAATTGATTGAACCGAATTGAAAAGAGAAACCGTTTATCTCTCCAGTGATTTATTTGGAAACGTGATTGGAGATCTTTTTACACGATGCAAATTTCAAATCGTTAACGTTCAGCAATGAATTACATTTGTAATAATTCTATTAGTTCATATAACAATGAAATTTTCCTCCGATTGCTCCGTTATTATTCTTCGTTCTATGATATAAAATTTAAATCATGAACCAACCGCGCATCAAAATCATGTAAATTAATATCACTTCGTGGTGTTTGATTTGTATAAATAGAATTTCTCCCTCTCGCTAGATCGTCTCAATCATGCCTTATCAGTCTTATCACGTATAACTTTCCCGTGTTCCCCAACAATTTTTCTCTCATCCTCGTCAGCCGTTTCCTTCCGCCTCCCCCCATTTTTTCCTCCAATCGTGCAGCGCAAATAAAGGTGTGCCTCGTTCGCAAACGCGGGTGCGTGACTCGTTCCGTCAATTTCGTGATTAAGGGGAGCGCTAAGTATCGCCCTAGATTTTTTAATTAAAGGGGCGTAACCCGCGCCTTGACGCGGTGGCACTGCGTTTACGCGATCGCTCACGACGATTCAGTGTTGTGGGTGACCGTGTTTCTCGTTGCCGATGTGTTACCGCATCTCGACGATCGGGAGGAACCCGCGGGGAGGACCCGTAATTAACGGTGTGATTTCGCACCGTGTGTGCGCGCGCGTGAGCGCCGCGCGTGAGTCGATTTATCGTCGTAATTTTGAAATGGTAAACGAGACCGCGAATGCGACAAGCGGTTACGCAAGTTGTGCACTTCATTAACAATAGTGCTCCGCTCTGTTAGCGTCGATTTATGCGCGCTCAGGGACGACGGGTGCGATTTTGCGCGAAAATCACGGCGCTCGTGCAATTTTCCGCCGCGACAGCAAGGTGAATAGTGAGGAATTTCATACGGCAGCAAATATATTTGTTCGTCGCTCTTTTTATATTTTTACATTAGATTACACTCAGATTTATACGTAGCTGTTTATCGTATGTGTTTATCCATTGTTCATTTCGTTATTATATTACATTAATTATATTATTTGATTTATATGTGACATTTATCACGCTATAAATCACTGCCGAGTTAAATCTTTCATCTGTCAACGTCCCAAGCGGAGCATCGTCAACAATTGGCGCGCTCGTTCGCGCGTGTCGAGAAAAACATGGAAAATAATCGCCGTTAATTTCTCGAAGGTGAAAAAAAGGAGGTGACGGTGAGAAAAATGGGAGTAACGCGGGTTTCTTGCCGCGGCGCGGCGGCGGTCGCGCGAAGGCGAGCGCGATTCAGAAGCCGGAAAGTGCGATCGAACGCGCTGCAAGAAAAACGTCATAAAAAAGATTGGATTATTATACCAGATCGGAAGGCGGAAAACCGGATTACCTTGAGAAGCCGGCGTAAAGCCTGGCACCTAAATATATAGGTGGTGCACTTGCACGCGTGTGTATGGGCGTTACACTACTTGCTCGCGAAGCGACGATGAATTGATTGATGATGCTACTTCGCGTCTCGAAAACACGGTGTCTCGAATCACTCGCATTAACGTCCGTGCCTCTTTATTTTATTAAATTCTATATAATATATATTATACTAGCCGTTTCTCTCGTTTTCCCCTTATTTCTTTCGCGCGATCATTAAATAACGACGAAGTTAATCTCGAACTCGCTAAGGCGTCGAAATTCCCGAGTACAAATGAAAGCAGAAACGCGCTATCGCTTCCATTCCCCTGTCATTCCGATAACGACGGAGATACGGGTCCCGCAGAAATTTCCGACGTCGTAATTTATAGTAACGAATTTTAACATTCACGAGCTTGCTGATTCTCCTCGCGATTAATTCCGCGATTTCGCCAACGAGAATGGAATTCTTCCGAATGCCTCCTCCGGAAGAATGACGACCCTGTTGAATGCATTCGTTAAAAGCACGGAAATCTCGCGCGCGCGCGCACGCGGATACGGTATGACTCATCTCGAGGAGGTGCCCTTATTACGAGCACGAAAGTCGATCGATCTCGGTGCCGGAGATCAAACTGTCGGGAGAGCACGCGGGGAAAACGCGCCGGGCATGCGCTCGCAACAAATCACAGATCGTTGCGAGGAATTATCGCGGATCGGGTACGTGACGGTACGGAGGCATATACGTGCCTGATCGCGGCTCGCTCGTTGTTTGGCCGTTAACGTCGATCGTAGTAGACGTGCCCTCGAGGTAGACGTGCACGCGCGCTGCTAATAATAGGCAGGCCTATCAATTTGCGCGCTGTTTTGACTTCTGGTCCGCGAATTCGATCCGGTTACTCGAAAACATGCATGTTTGTTCCGCACTCGCTCGCGTTTGGCCGCGAAACGATTCAATTTCCCATCAAGTATTCTCCTCTTTGCATTCATTATTCGAAATATTTGTCGCCGGCGTTTGTTCCGAAGAATCGTGTGCGCAGAGGTAAAACGTATTTTGTATCATCGATCTAATTAACACGTTGCCTGCCTTATAGCGAGTTTTGTGTGTCTTTTATCATATACGTCATGAATTTTCATATAAGTATAATACAATGATAAAATATTATGTAACTTGATTAAATAAGACCAAATTCTCATGGGTAGGGTAAACTCGGGTAAGATGGCCATAGAGGAAAGATGGCCATGTTCATTCGATGTTTCATGAAATCATGACGAGCTAGATTGAAAGAACATAGGTTGGCCATCTTACCCGAGTTTACCTTATTGCGTTGAATATCACACTTTTTACTTGACATTGTTATCTAGCTAATAGCTAATAAAAATTTTATAGATGGCATTTATTTTTGTTAAATTATGGCCAGGTTGGCAGTTGAGGCTCGCAGACTTAATCTAATATACGAAGCTCTTTGTTTTGTGTAACTATTACAAGAAAATAATTCGAACGAAAAGGTGCACGCTAACACGTGTCTAATTACAAACTTAATAAATAAATATCTTAACGAAATTCTTAACTTAAATAAATATCAAAACGACTAGTTAATAATATGACGAACTGCTCTTTCGCACAGCAGAGAAACAGAATTTACTTTACTATTTATCACGTACAAACAGAAATAAATAAATTTCTTATCTATAGGGCAGCTTGCACGCTCAGAAGGTTCTTGCTAGGTGTTCACACTGGGACAGTGCACTAAGGGAAAGAGAACTTTCATGCGTGCCGATTTCTTGCTAAGGCCAACCTACCCTACACTAGAAATAACTTTTGACTAAGCAAAATTACTAAAAATACCTTAAGCCTGTTCTATTTAGCTGAACTTCTTGCACGGTTCGTCTGTTATCTTTTTCTCGTCACGTTGGAGGGAAAAAGAAAAAAGATGAGATGTGCGATAAGTTCAGCTAAAAAGAACAGGTCTTTTATTTCAAAAATCTTTTACAAGCGTTTTAAAATATTTCGATTGCGCTAGTCATGAATTGTCATCATTATGTGTTTATTAGCGGTTGATGTATATCTTACAAACATTCAAAGGTGAATTGGAAAAATTAGTCGCGTAGAAGATTGTGATAACGTCACCGCAATTTCCGGAACGACACACAGTCGCCAGTTAATAACTATTAATTCAATCCTTCATACATATCTTCTAGAACGGAAATTGCGTAAAGAAAAACTGCTATCCGAGCGAAAATAAAAATGCTTATTCCATTAATATTCGTAAGAGTATAAAAGAGTATTTATATAATAAGAAACCCTTTACTTTTCCGATGTTACGTGCGGGGGCAATTTGTATGTGTAATTCTACTGAAATTTAATTTGTCGTCATAAAGGGATCGGCGGCTGACGGAGGGAGCACGAAACGACGACGCTTTCGTGTCGATGAAAAGGAGATAAAAGGTTTCGTCACGATGAAGTTGACGAGAGAGGCATATTGCAGCGAGATCGGCGCGGCTTTACTGCGAGTTTATCGTATCGGGGAGATTTATGTGTCGGGCGCGATAAGTGAACGCGAACGCTCTGCCTGCCATGAAGTAATTATGAAGGAAACCTATTAGCGCGCTCGATCTCACAATCCACGTATATCCGAAGGAATTAGCGCCGGTTTATTTCGCAAAAGTGTATCTCACGACGTTAATAATCGGCGATAGTTACGAGCTGCACGAATCCTCTCTATAATCATCTCTATAATTATCTCCACATCGGTCATTCTTGCGGATATTCAATATAACTCGGATTATCGCGGCGGAGCGAAAGGTCGCGATCGGCTGTTTATTAAAATTAAAAATTAAGAAGATATCTGAATACCGAGAATGCCAAAATATGCAGGAGCAGTGAAAAAATACGTAAATACGCGTGTTCTAGAGGTTACACTTGACTGAACTCGGTAATTGGTATTCTGTAATTAATATCGTTTCCGTGATTGCCGCTTTGATCCCATCTTTCGGGGGGAAAACAGTATTTCGATTGGAGGTCTCGGCGCCGACGTCACGTACGCGAGAACCTCTCTCGCGGACTCTTTTCATTCAGCTTTACCCGATCACGCATCGTCGTCGCATCGATCGCCAGCACCGGCTCGCACATCGCGTGCACCACGGAAGCGTATCGCGATATAAATAATTTAGCCGGACTGTCGCTTAAGTGAAGACGCCCGCTACCGTCGCGCACAATGTCACTCTTTATCGCGCGTACGAGAAATCTTTAACGGCGCGCCCGATTCGCGTTATCATCGTTATCAGGGATTAGCTTAAATCTCCGCGTCTGGCTCTATATGCGGTTGTTTCGCGCGATTTTTCGCGACCGATCGCGATGGCAGGGTGAAAATTACTCGTCCGCTCGGCCGCGCGACGTAATCTCGCCAATTTAGCATATGTATTAAAACTAAATTGAATCGCGCGCGCTCGCGAGAAGGCGGCGATCAATCGGCTTCTACCGATAC